ATTCATTTGCGGCATGTTTCTTTGTCTCTGCATTTTGGCTGCTTCCCTGTGTTGATAGAGTGGCTTTGTGTGCTAGGTGTCCTATAGGGCCCAGTGGCTCAGCCTCCCCAGTCATCTGAGGTGGACACTCTTGGTGCACCCCTTTGTGGGCTGGGTGCACAGTCTTGTTGTATTTAAGCCTTGATTGCTGTTGGTATCCCTGGGAGGAAATAACCTCCAGGCCAATTGACTGCGAGGACACGCTGTGTCTATAGTGGAAGAACTGCTGTTTTGGAGACACCTTAATGGGGGCAGAACTTGCTTCAGTGGGGCTTTGGTGCTCACTGAGTCTGCCTCTTGAGTGTGTCACTTATGGATGTGAGGAGTTGAAATCTGGTATCTGACCACTGGATATACTGGCTCCTGGATCTCCAAGGAGGTGCAAAGTCAGCTACTGCATGAGTCCACCCAGCAGGAGCTACAACGAGATCTGCAGATTTCTTCTCTTTGTGGGTAATTCATTTGTGCCGCCATGCACAGCTTGGGTGGGGTTGTGAATTAGGTGGGGTGGGGTCTCAGAGAATCACCCAGGCAGAGCAAACAGGCGATGGCTGTCCGTCAGCCATCAGCCGTCAGCCATCAGCTGTCTCTGGGTCTCCGCGTCTCTGTGTCTCTCCACCTCTCCGCATCTTCCCACGTCTCCGTGTCTCTGCTTCTTGGTGCCTCCGTGTCTCCGCATCCCTGAGTCCCCAAGTCCCATGCCCCCACAATAACAATGATCCCTGTGAGCAGCTCTGCGAGAGAGCCACCCTTGCTTTCCGACCCGCTGTCAGACAGTCCAGTTTCTCCCCATACAAATGTGGGTCCCCAGAGTCTCGCCAGAAACAAGTTCAGTGCAGTTAGGAGCTTGTATCTTCCTTCTGATTGAAAAAAACTGTGCACCCAGTTGCAGCCCGTTTCATGCGCCTCCGTGCCTCTGCTCTTGGCGACTCCACACCTCCTACGCAGTCTAAATGCACTTTTTTCTTTCCTTCTAGTTGTAGAACTTCCACTCAGCCAGCTGCCCCGTGGTTCTGGATGATAGCCATTTTGTGTTTTAGTTGTAGTTTTAATGTGGTTGTGGGGGGTGGCACATATAGATATATACCTTATGCCGCCATCTTGGTTCTTCTTGAATTTCTTGAATGAATTATTAAATTGTTCAGTTCTCTTCCATATTCCAAATTCAGACTGGTTTTTTCTCTGGTTATTTCAAGTCTGTGAAATTTAATGGGAATGGGTGTGTGTGTGCATGCATGCAAGTCATTGGTCTTCAAGGAAGGAAGAAGTGTGGCTTCTGAATGTTGCTTATATAAACTTTCTTTTATTCCACAGTTAAACAACAACAGCAACGTAATCAGTTAACTGAACAGGACCAGCTTTCTTCTCAACAGAATGATGAGTAAGTGATTATTCTTTAAGAAACATTACTCCCACAATCTTCTATTTTCCCTATGTAACATGAAGCAATGTAATTAAAGCATTTCAGAAAAAAACTACCTGCCCTTTTAGCAATAACACATCACATTCCATAAGGACACCTTTTTCTCAGTTCTGTCCTTATACTTGGAGACTGATAGTCTTTAATAGTTATTTAATTGTTCCCCTTGATGTTAAAAAATAATACAATAGTTTGGGGTAAACACAATTACAAATACTTTGTTCTCAGTATATTGGGGGTGGAGGGGAGCTGGCAGGTAGGCTGACCGTGGCTGCATGCATAGATTTCTCTTCAACATATTTTTGGACATCTTCAATCTCATCAGAGAAAGAGAGTTTAAGAATGGTAAAGGATTGGCAGCCTCTACTGGCCCACAGCTTTGTGGTCCCAGATAGAAACCACTTGCTGGTGACTTAGTTTCTCTTTCTATGTAGTTAGAGATGAGGTATGGATCTTGGAGGGATCAATGCTTGGACACAACCATGAAGTCTTTGAGGAAGGTAGCAGTCAAAAAAGATAGCACTGATGAGTGCTGGTTTAGAGATGTGGTCCTTGTATTTTGCCTCTAGGAATCTTAAAAAAATGGAGTTTCCACAGAACATTAACAGATATGCAGAAAGATTCATCACACTGATGCCAAAGCCTAGGCACAGAAATCCAATCCACATGTATCCTCTGACTGATAGAGGGATCATTGAATGACTTATTAATAATACCTTTTCTCTTTGTTGTATCATATCTTTCAGAGGTAGCTAAAATCAGGTGCAAAATATGTTGGCTCATCTGGAGCTTTAAGAGAAACATTTAAAAGTCACAGTGGAAGTCTTTATCTTCACAATACTCAATCTTTTGTCATATTATAGAAGTCTTTAGATTTCACGTAGTAATTCACTTTATATTAGCTGATAAAACTCAACAGTATTAATCAGAGTAAAGTTTTGTCATTTACATACATCTTATTTAATTGATTAAGGTTAAAAGTTCACAGAGCAACAGGGATTATTTTGTTTATATTTTTTCCAACATTATTAAGTTATGGTTGACAATTAAAATTTTATATATTTAAAGAGTACAATTTGAGGGTTTAAAGTACATATACATTGTGAAATATTCACCATAGCTAAGCTAATTTACATATCCATTGCCTCACACAGTTATCTTTGTTTGTGTGTTGTGCGTGTGTGTGTGTGTGTGTGTGTGTGTGTGTGTTTGTGTTTGTGTGTGTGTGGTAAGGACATTTAAGATCCACCTCTTAGCAAATTTCAAATATACAGTATTATATATTATGGGGATTTTAAGCAATATACCTGCTTTTGGTCAAGAAGGGAGTAATTTTTTCCCTTGCATATTAAAGAGAGGCCTTGCTGGTTTGGATCCTAGGATTTAAATTTTTATATGTTATGAACTATTACCACACAGACTTACATGAGGGAGAGTTAGCTCTGTTTGAATGGATTCTCAAGAGTATGTTCTTGATACATGGTATCAGTAGAACAAATACCGTTTTTAATTTCTAATTATTCTTTGGCTATGTAAAAGCTCACTTATTTTTATGTGTTTACTATTTCAGAAGGCAACAGCAAGCTTTTATAGTTCCCGAGATAACTAAATCAGAGCACACCAGCACTGTGGTAGGGGTCCATGAGGCAACTTCGACAGTTCAGGCAGAAGCAAATGCAGGTATGTGTCATGGTCATCAAAAGATTAGATTCATGATAGTGCAGATTCTTTTCTCTCATTGTTCGTTTTGAAAATCTATAAAGAAAACTAAATTAAAATATTTTTATAAGGCTTATATGTCTTGGATTTGCAAGATGCTGGTGGGCACTGCAGAGCAGTGATTGTCAAAGTGCAGTCCCTGCATCAAGAGCATTAGCATCACCTGGGAATTTGTAAGGAAGACGAATTCTCTGACTCTGCCTGGGACATTCTGAATCAGAAATCCTGGGAGAAAAATGCAGCCATCTGTGATGTATAGTTCTCCATGTGAGTGTTTCTGATGCATTTTCAGGTTTGGAAACCCCTACTACAAAGTGTAGATAGAAAGATGAATAAGCCAAAACCAGTTTGGCTCAGTGGATGGAGCGTCCGCCTGCGGACTGAAGGATCCCAGGTTCGATTCCAGTCAAGGCCATGTACCTGGGTTGTGGGCACATCCCCAGTGGGAGATGTGCAGGAGGCAGCTGATCGATGTTTCTAACTCTCTATCTCTCTCCCTTCCTCTCTGTGAAAAATCAATAAATATTTTTTTTTTAAAAAAGAAAGATGAGTAAAACACATATTGGCTTAAAGGAATGCACACTTTAACTGCCATAGATTTAACGAACAGAGTCATTTATACCTGGAAGAGTTTTTAATGCAAATGTTTTATTTACACTGATTTCAAACTATTTGTTTAATTCATCAAATATAGCATAGTCTGTGTGCCAGGAATTGTGTAAAGCCCTGGGCATAAAGTTTAAGATATACTCAGCTGCTATCCCCATGAAGCTAGGAAGAAAGAAAGATAATTCAACAAGCAGTTAAAATTAAATGAGGAAAGTATTTTGAAAGGAAAGTACAAGGTGCTGCAGAAGCATCCAGCAGGGTCACTTGAACAACTGTGGGATCAACAGCATAGCCCTCCCTGGAGAAATGCCTAACAGATTGCCTGTTATGCAGTAATGAAGTAATAAACTCTTCCTAATCTGGAAGAGTTCTCTACTAGTTGAGGAAAAACAAGTAATGATAACATTGCTCAACTTTCAGTTATCCATTTACAGGTCACTTCCATCAGCTCATTTGTGCTATAGCCCCCAGAGCAGTCAAGATGGAGCCTAGTACCAATGCCTTCATTTGACAGGTGTAGAAACCAAAACAGAGAAAGTTGACATTACTGTTATAAGATTACATGAACAGTTTAGTGTGGCCAAGTTGTGATACTGTTAATTCTCTGCTTACATTAGATTGCTTAATTTGTATCTTAACATGCAAGGCTCTTACATGACTTAGTCTCTGCCTAATAAGAGAGATAAGATAAGTAAAAAATATTACTAGATATAATGATATAAGGGCTAATTGGACCAATAAAAAGGCTATAGGAAATAATTTTGGAAGAAATTATTTTCTGTAAGAAGGGGTAAATATTCTCTAGAATATTATTTCACTTATTATTTTTATTTTTTATTTTGTTTGTTAATCCTCACCCAAGGATATTTCGCGCCATTGATTTTTAAAGAGAGTAGAAGGGAGGGGGAGAGAGTAAAAGAGGGGAGAGACACACACATCAATTGGTTGCCTCCCGTGCACATGGCCTGACCAGGGCCAGGATCAAGCCTGCAACCCAGATACATGCCCTTGACTGAAATTGAACCTGCAACCCTTCAATCTGTGGGCCAACACTCTAGCCATTGAGCAAAACTGGCTAGGGCTAATTTATTTTTAATAACTCTCCCACCAACCCCAACTTGAAACCATCCTAATAAGTAAAAGAAGTGATATTTCTGAAATATCAGCAATTCTAAAACAGTGCAATCTAATTGGAGGTTTTATTATAGGGAGATACTATTCTTGGACCACTGTAGACTTGCTTATTATAGTAAATTTTACTTCTCTCCTTTGTTTGTTCCTGCATTTATGTTTTTCAATGGACCAACACCATTAAGTAACTGCCACTCTCCATGTTTTTCTTATAGTTTGGACTGAAGAAATCTCTGAAGGCCCTGAGTCATGGTCAAACAACTATTTTTCCTCTTCCTATGTTGACAATGGAGAAGAAAGAACCTTACTGGTGAGTAATGACAAATTAAAATAAATAGAAACTCTTAAGGCAGTTTTACTGATGAAATAGGTGAAGTATGTAGGGGCATTCTTTTGTCAGTCTCCTTGTGGTGTATTCCACGGCCTAAAGTTTTAAAACAATTATGAACATTCAATAAGCACTTTACTCTTTAAGTAGAACTTATTTGTGCTATACATGGAGTTCCTACTGAAGTTGATGAAATGAATAGTCATCTATTCCAAGACTCTATACATTAACCAGTTTCATCTTTTTTTAAATTTCTTTATTGATTAAAGTATTACATATGTGTCCTTATCCCCATTACCGCCCCCATCCCTCCCACTCATGCCCTCACCCACCTGTTGTCTGTGTCCATTGGTTAGGCTTACATACAGTTTCATCTTTAATTAAACGTCACCACTGTGTTTTCAACCAAGGCATGTGAGATAAAATCAAAGAACAAAGAAGGGTCAAATATACTTTATATGCACCCCTATGTTCATAGCAGCACAATTAACCATAGCAAAGATCTGGAAACAGCCTAAGTGAACATCAGTAGATGAATGGATTAGAAAAACATAGTATATCTACACAATGG